TTTTTGTATTTTTTAGTAAAGATGGGGTTTCACCATGTTGGCCAGGCTGGTCTTGAACTCCTGACCTCGTGATCCACCTGCCTCAGCCTCCCAAAGTGCTGGGATTACAGGCGTGAGCCACCATGCCTGGCCTCTTTCTTTCTCTCTTTCTCTCTTTCTTTCTTTTTGAGATGGAGTCTCACTCTGTTGCCTAGGATGGAGTGCAGTGGTGTGATCTCGGCTCACTGAAACCTCCGCGTCCCTGGTTCAAGCGATTTTCCTACCTCAGCCTCCCAAGTAGCTGGGATTACAGGTGCCAGGCTGGTTTTGAACTTCTGATCTCAAGTAATCCACCTGCCTCGACCTCCCAAAGTGCTAGGATTACAGGCATGAGCCATGATGCCCGGCCCATATTAGTGTTTTCTTTCTACAATTGCATGTAACTGGAATCCTACAGTATGTACCCTTGTGGCTGGCTTATATCACGTGACATCATGTTTTTGAGATTTATCCATGGTGCTATGCCTGTTGGCAGGTGGTTTGCGTTATGGCCGAGTCGTATTCCATCCTGTGGGCATACCACAGTTTGATCATCCACCCTCCCACTGATGAACAGTCATGTCATTTCTGCTTTTCCAGATGGGGACTATTATGAATAAAGCTGTTGTGAATACTTGTATGAACATGTTTTTATTTCTTACTGGTAAATACTTAGGAACAGGATTGCTGAGTCATATGGTAAGTTTGTGTTCATTTTATAAGAAACTGATCGACTGTTTTTCAAGGCGGTTACAGTGGGTTGAAAGGTGGCCCCCGAAAGATATACCCATGTCCCGTGCCCTGGAACCTGTGAGTGTGACCTTATTTAGAGGAAAGGTCTCTGGGATGTAATCAAGGATCTCCACACGGCATCATCCTGGATTTAGAGTGGTTTCTTACATCCAGTGACAGGTGTCCGTATAGGGGAAAGGCAGAGGGAGATCTGAGACACAGAGACACACAGGGGAAGAGGCAATGCAAAGACAGAAGCAGAGACTGGAGCGATGCCTCCATGAACCAAGGAAGGCCAAGGATCGCCAGCAGCCACCAGGAGGTAGGTGGGAGGTGGGAACCAGATTCTCCATCAGAGCCTCAGAAGGAAGCAACCTCACCAATGCCTCTGCCCAGGCCACAGTGCAGGCCTACTGGCTTCCAGGAGATTAATTCATCCCTCCAGCAAAAAGGGATGAGGTCCTGAAGGGCTTTGGACCAATCCCGGGCAAGATGGTCAGGAGAGGAAGAGGAGGAGTCAGCAAAGGCAGGAGGCGGGCCCAAGAGTCTGCCCAAACTGGACCCAATGATTGGCCCGGGGTGTCTCCAAGCTCTGAGCTGGACCAATCAGAATCCTGTTCCTGAATGACACAGCAGCTGAGAGACAGCTGATTCTCACATTGTTTCCTCTGAAGTTATCTCTCTGAAGGCAATTACAACAAGTCTTGTTAATTTCTTGCAATGGCAGCAGATCCTGTTAATTTCCTACCCAACTATAGTTCCCCTCCCCATGCTTCCTCTAGGCAAAGTCCGCACCCCACCATGGGGACTGGAAATGACAGATGTTCACTAGCCAGACCGCTCTGCAACTCGGGGTAGCCACACAGCCGGGTTCTGGCAAGAGAGAAATAAGGAGAATTATTCTGTGGAGGAAAAAAGGGGAACACAGAAGGGGAGGCCCCGGTCTACACTGCCTGCTTTAGATGCCAGTGTGTGAGAACACGATGCTGCTCTAGACAGTTTGTACTCAGGAGGGGAATGAACACCAATCTCAGAGATGCCAACTAAAGCCTAATGTTGTTGAGCAGCCGAACCAACCCTGGGACTGTCTTTGAAAAATCTGATATGCAAACATGGAAAAAAATCTTTTCACTTAAGCTCTTTCAGTGGAGAAGTTTTTGTTTGTTTGTTTTGCAGCCAAAGGTATCATAACAGATACAGCATTTTACACCTGGAGCTCCAAGTGGCCATCTCATTGCCACTGCAAACACCTGAGAGAGAAGTCAATAGCCAGGCGCAGTGGCTGACATCTGTAATCCCAGCACTTTGGCAGGCCAAGGCGGGCAGATCACAGGAGGTCAGGAGTTCGAGTCCAGCCTGGCCAACAGGGTGAAACCCCGTCTCTACTAAAAATACAAAAACTTAGCCAGGCACGGTAGCAAACGGCCGTAATCCCAGCTACTCAGGAGGCTGAGGCAAGAGAATTGCTTGAAACCAGGAGGTTGCAGTGAGCCCAGATCACACCACTGCACTCCAGTCTGGGCAACAAGAGTGAAACTCCATCCAAAAAAAAAAGAGGAAAGCAGAAGTGAAAGAATCCCTTGAACACCTGGATCTAACCATGCCTGAAGTCCCTCTGTGTTCATAGGCTTTCCATGGACAGAGGTCTTTCAATTCTGTTTATGGTTTTGGGTTGAATTTTGTGTTCTGTACTCACAATGATCCTGGCTAACACCATTTTTATAAACTGAGGCTCAGCGAGATCATTAAGTTGCCCAGTCATAGAAAGAAACACAAATTTGTCTATTGCAGAGCCAGCATGTTCCAATCCAGCTTCCTAGTCTCAGAGAGGACAGGAGGCCCAGGTGGAGTGAGACCCACGGAGTGTGTTTATTCTGGCGTTGATAGCAGCAGCAGTGGGGGGACCGGCCAGACGCGGGGTGTGGCGAACAGAAGGGGTGGACACAGGTGTGTGTGTGTGTCTGAAAGGACAGAGAGGATTGGCCCATTGACATTCACGGTGAGAACAAGGGTCGGGACACCAAGTCTTGGACGAACAGCAAAGTGACAGAGACAGACAGAGGGCTTTGGGGGGCAGGGGTCCCCCAGACATGCATGGCCCCTCGCCTCAAGGGGGAGCCCCAGGGAAGAAAAGACAGACACAGTGGAGGCTGAATGCCCCCCACCCTGAAAGAAGGAGCTGGGCCGGCCTCCTCCCATCCTCTCGCTTCCAGGGGTAGGAAGCCTAGGGCCAGGGCTGCCCTGCACCAGCAGCTCGGACGTTATGGCTTCAAGGAGATGAATTCACGGTCCGGGCAGGAAAGGATGGGGTCCTGAGGGAGCCTGGTCCGATCCCGGACCTAGGCCAGACCTGCACGATGGAGCAGGAGAGGAGGGGTCAGCGACCGCAGAGAACTGCGTCACGACCTCCTGCAGCTCCATCACCACCCAGAGACCCAGGAGTCCCAGGTCCAGCCCCTCCTCCCTCAGACCCAGGAGTCCAGGCCCCCGGCCCCTCCTCCCTCAGACCCAGGAGTCCAGGCCCCCGGCCCCTCCTCCCTCAGACCCAGGAGTCCAGGCCCCCGGCCCCTCCTCCCTCAGAGCCAGGAGTCCAGGCCCCCGGCCCCTCCTCCCTCAGACCCAGGAGTCCAGGCCCCCGGCCCCTCCTCCCTCAGACCCAGGAGTCCAGGCCCCCGGCCCCTCCTCCCTCAGACTCAGGCATCTCCACCCCCAGCCCCTTCCCTGTGGCCAGGCTCCTTACCCCTCACTCAGAGTTCTCTTTCTCTGATAGTCCTTTGCTGCCTTTTGTGAAGCTGGTCAAAGTCTTTTCCTAAAGGAGAAAGTCCAGAAGGTTCAGGAGTGAGGGACAGAGATTTGAAACAGACGCTAATCATCAACAGGAGAAGACGTCAATCCTGTTTCATTATTTAGGATGCGCTTTCTCACTTGGCCCTGAAGTGATGGACAGATGGTATTACGATTCCATTCTACAGATGGAGAAATGGAGGCACAAAAAAGAGGAGTCTCTGCAAATGCGAGGAGAGATGGGGCTGTAGGGATGAGTGCGGCAGGTCCTGCACGGCATCAGAGGAGCTGAGACTCTGTCCTGGGGCCACTGGGGAGCCACGGGAGGGCTGTGAGCAAGGAAGGGGAGGAGAAGCTCTGGGTGTAGAAGGATCTTCTGAGGCCACAGGGAGCACGAGGGGCTGAAATTCATGGGCAGTGTCAGGGCTGGGCCCAGACTCTGCCGCCAGTGTTGCCCAACATGGGCAGTGGCTCACCAGAAACTCCTCAGGTTTGTGGGATGAATTAATGAATGGATGAATGAGTGAATGACAGAAGGAGGGAGTAGCCTCCATCCTATCCACCTTAGTAGAGTCCTCGTCTTTTCCAATCTCAAATCTGAGCTCTGTGCCCAGCTGCTCGGTCCCTCATCATCACTGGAAAAAAACCCATGGCAGGGCCGGACTCAATCTGGTGATGTGGTGAAAGTTTTACCCGGTACTAAATGTAAATGTGTGCCCCAAATGCAGCAATCAAGATAAATAATATTTAATGCAATATTGGCCAGGTGCGGTGGTTCGTGCTTGCAATCCCAGCACTTTGGGGGCCCGAGGTGGGTGGATCACTTGGAAGTTTGAGAGCAGCCTGGCCAACATGGTGAAACCCTGTCTCTACAAAATAAATAAATAAATAAAATAATAAAATAATATAAAATAAAATAAAAATTTAGCTGGGTGAGGTGGCACACGCCTGTAATCCCAGCTACTTGGTAGGCTGAGGCAGAAGAATCACTTGAACTCAGGGAGGGGAAGGTTGCAGTGAGCCAAGATTGCAGCGCTGCACTCCAG